TGATACTATCATTATTTCATTATGTCCTAATTGTTTTATTTTCATTAAACTGATTTTCAAGTTTTTGATTATATTATATTTTGTTATATATAACATCACTCAACAATGGAGTTTTTGAGAATAATGATGAAATGATGAGTATAAAGAATGTAAGTCTGTAGAAAAGTTACCAAACTTTTAGTAAAAAGATATTGAAGAAATGCCGAAAAAGAACTAAACTCAAAACCACAAAATACACCATGTCTTGTGGATGTCAAGCTAATTCTAATTTTTGTCCTTCATTTACTCAAGATGGAACGAATGACTTGGAACGTGCTTATTTAATGGCTTCCACTGATATTGTTTTAGAGAATAACACCTCATCTAAAAATTGCTTTGATACTGAAAAGAAAACACTCCCATTGTCTTTATTTGATAACCCATCTTCTGTACTTGGAAAGAGAAAAGAAATGACAAGTAAAGAAAAAAGGAAAATACGTCCTATTGACAGTAAAAATCAAGGTATTATGACAAATGAATTAAAAGAAAACCAAAACTCAACTCAACCACAAGAAAATAATGGTGTATTGGAAGAACAAGCAGAAGTATGTTCAATGCCTCACACTAATGTCTGCTGTGAGGAACAAAACTCAAAAGAAGAAATGAAAAAATTAGAAGAAAACAAAAAGATTGATGGAAACCAAACTCAAACTACTTCAACTTCAATTGAAGAAGATGTGTCAATGAAAGAAGAAGATTTTGAAGAGGATTTTAAAGAATTAGCACAATCAGAAATACATTTATTTGAGCAAGCTTCAGCTATATTTTTAACAGCATCTAATAACATTAAATTAAAGAAAGAAAGTGGGATTACTAAAGATGAATTAGAAGTAGTAAAACGTGCATGTGATGTTCTTGGAAGTGGGGTTGAAGAATCATCAATAAACCAGGAAGAATTAGATAAAATCTTTTTACAGAGTGATTCTACAATGTCAAATAGTAGTGAAGATTATCAATACCACAAAAAAAGGGAGGAAAAAAAACCAAAACGGAACCAAGGTTTAAACCGAGTTAAACGAGTTATTAGCATTCATAATATTCTTCAACCTCATTGAAAATGTTTTTAAATCTATTAGGTAGTGTTAAAAAAAAAACAAAAAAAAAGAAAAAAGAAAAGATTGAATAAAAATCACTTAGTTTTTAATGAGTGAAGAACAACCACAAATTATGACTTGGATTCGGGCATTATTAAAAGATAAAGGAATTGAAGAATATCAAGACCCAGTTGCTGACATGGGACTAGAATTTCTAACTCGTTTGTTTTTAATAAATAATGATGAAATAATAAAGAAGAGAATATTAAAAAGAGTAGGATATTTGAGTGAGTTAATTGGTGATATTGTAGTATTTTCTGAGCACGCCCAAAATATACAACCAACACTAAACGATGTTAAGATGGCAATTAAAATGAGACATAGAACAACTGCTTCTACATCTAAAGACCAACTTAGAGAACGAGTTAATGCATGTAATACAGCTAAATTACCAAGAAATTTTGTTGCTTCTGTTGAATTACCAAAGCCACAGGATGATAATTATACATTATTACAACGAAATTATAGAGTTAAAACAGTTTGTTAATACAAATGATTAAATAATTAAAAGGAATTAGAAAATAACAAATAGAATGATGATTTTGATGATGAAGATGACGAGATGGATAAGAACATTAATACTGAATTACCAGTATTACCTCCTTCAATGTAATTTGATTAATGAGTAAGTGAATAAAACAATAAAACCCAGAAGTTTAAATAATAAAGTCTATTATTTATAATGTCATTTTGGTTATTTTACTAATAAACATATTCCATAACTCTGTTCCATTCCCATTTCTTAATACTTTATTACGGGCATTTTTAATGGCTTGTTCTAAGTCTTTAAGAATACTTTCATTACTAATTAATGTAATGACAATTTGAGGATGTATAGAACACACTATTAAAGGTTTTGATTTAATGAATTGAACAAATGGTGTACTAAATGGTGTACCTACTTCTTTGACAATACTAGCTTCTTGGAATTGTGCGTATTGAAAAAATAAAATAATTCGAATCATTCCTTCTATTCCTTCAGAAGAACATTTTTGAATAATTTGAATAACATCATCTTTTCCAAGATAATTAATTAATGGCATTCCTTCAATTGATTTCTCAACTGTTGAGACAAGAATTGTTTGGTTTCTCTCTGGAAGATATTCGAAAATAATACTTTGGATGACTGAAGAGAGAAAAGATGGATTTGAACATAATGACTTGTGAATGTTTAGAAGAGTTTCTTTAGTAATGATTTCAAGAGTGTTAGGAGTGAGTGTATTTAATAATTCTTCCTCTTTCCATTGAGTAATATTAGAAACAAGTAATTGTGTTTGTCGAGAGGTTCTTAGAAAACGAACTAAATTTGCATTTCCTGGAAGATTACTTAAATGCTGAATGTAGATAGAAGAAAGTATTGAATCATTAGATTGGTCATTTAAAAGTAAAGTTAGTAAGAAAGTGATATTATTTGTAAGTTTAGAAACAATACGAAAACGATATTGTACAGGAGTAATACAAACAATAAGATAGAGTATTCGAGTACAAAATACATTTGTTAAAGTATTTCCATTTAAATAACAATTTAAGAGATGAAGTAATTGTGACATATTTGGCATTAAAGATGGTAATAATTTGTATATTTTTTGTAATAAAGAAGAATAAAAAGAGTATGTTATTTTAGATGTTTGACTTAATAATTGTAATGTTAATTCTAAATATTGATATTGGTTTATTGATATAATTTCAAGAAGAATAAATTGAAGAGGAAATGATAATTCATTTAAGTCATCAATTATAAATTGAAATGATTGAATAGTTTTAACAGTAATCATATATTCGTCTGTATTTTCTTTTTCATCATTAATAAGAATTAACATTAATTCACTTAACTCTTTATTTACTTCTTTGATTGGTATTTTGAATGAATGTAATTTAGTTAATGAATGAAGTACTTTTGAAAGAAACATAAATGCAGGTTGATTAACATTACCATTTCTTCCTATTTCATTAAGTTCATTAAGAAGATAACTAGTAATGACTTTAATTTTAGTGTCTAATATACAATAACTTTCTTTATTTTTTTCTTTTTCCTTTTCACAGATGATTTTTAATAATAATTTCCAACTTGTCCCATATAAACTCTTATTTCCTGCTGACACCTTAATAATATCTAAAATACCATCAATGACATCAGTCAGTGTATAGTTTGGTAATGATGCTTTTTGATATGAAAGAATAAGTTCCTTAAGAATGTTAACTATTTCACAATGGTCTTGAAGTTCTTTAATAGCACATATCACCGTATTGAATTTTTCCATTGATCCATTAATATCTATTCCATTGATTTCCTTGATCACGCTGAGTATTTCTTTTAGAATTGCATTATTTTCTTGTGAAGGACAAGATGACAATCCCTCCACGTCCATTTGTTTTGTTTTAGTAGTTTTATTTTCATTTATTCTATTCCTCAATCTTTAAGATTTTGAAAATCTAAAAATAATTTAAGAAAAACGTTTTTATAAAAACAAAAATAACAAATTCAATATTTTGCATCTTTGATTCAAGTTGAGGATATTCTTTTTTAAGAAAAAAACATATCAAAATATTGAATAAGAAGAAAATAGTTCTTTAATATACATTTATTGCACTTTCTATATTCTTCTTTTATTCTGATGATAACTATAAAAAAGATTATACTGAACTTTATATGTTCAATAAAGACATGGCTAGTAAATTTGTGATAGAAAAGAATAGAGAATTTCTGAAAGAGTATGACATTTGTTCAGAAACTGATTACCATGATGCTATGAGAGGATTTTATGCTTCTTTAGATGGTCAAAAGAACAATTTAAAATTTGATGATCTAATCAAGTCTAGAAAAACAATGAGTCAGATAATTTCAGAATGTCCACCTACAGATAATCCATCTTACTATAAGAGAGCTAATATTGAAAATTTGGAGGGAGTATTTGAAATTGTTCCAAAGAAGATTTACCAAGTCAGAGCATTTACTCTAGATTTAGCTAATTTTACAGTTGTAAGAGGAAAGAATGGATGGATTGTTATTGATTGTATGTCAACTATCTCAGCTTGTAAAAAAGCTTTTGAATTGATTCAAAATACTGTTGAAAATCTTCCAGTATCAGCTATTATCATTACTCATTCCCATGGAGATCATTTTGGTGGATATTCTGGTGTTGGAAATGATGAAACTCCATTATATGTTCCAGATACTTTCTTTGATATGATATTTGATGAAAGTGTTATGGCTGGTGGAGCTATGAAAAGAAGAGGAGAATTTATGTATGGGTCAAGACTTAGAAATTCATGCACAAAAGTTACTGGTAATTCATTAGACCGAACATCAATAAATGTCAGTATTCCTTACTCAAAACACACTACAATTATTAAAGAGAATTGTACCATTGATATTGATGGAATAAAGTTCGATTTCATTCTAACTCTTAACACAGAAGCACCAGCAGATATGATGATGTATCTCCCAGATTTTAATGCTTTAAGTGCAGCAGATAATATGATTCAAGCAATGCACAATTTATTAACTCCAAGAGGTGCTAAGGTTAGAAGTGGGAAATTATGGAGTCAATGTATTGATGATGTGATTGTTAAATATGGAAAAGACGTCCAAATTCATTTTGGTGGACATCATTGGGCATTGTATGGAAATGAAAAGATTATTCATTTTTGGAAAACAAAAAGAGACTTGTATAAGTACATCCACGATCAAACATTACGTTATGCTAATTGTGGATATACACCAAATGAAATAGCAGAGTTTGTCAACTTACCTAAAAGTCTTTCTAAGGAATTTTGTTGTAGAAATCTTTATGGTACATTGAATTTTAATATTAAGTCACAATATCAATTATATCTTGGATGGTATGATGGTAATCCTGCACATTTAAATGAACTTCCTCCAAAAGAAATAGCAAGAAAGTATATAAAAGCATTTGGTGGAGAAGAAAATACTTTAAATATTGGAAAGGAAGCATTTAATAATGGGGATTATAGGTGGGCTGTAACAATATTAAATCATTTGATATTTTCAAATCCAAAGAATGAAGAAGCAAGAGAATTATTAGCCAAAACATATGACCAATTAAGTTATACACAAGAATGTCTTGTTTGGAAATATAGTTATGCAACAGCTGCTTTAGAATTGAGAGAACATCAACCTATGGAAATATTAAGTAATTGTCCTTTTTATCAATCACTTCCATTACAGGCTTTTTGTAATCTTCTTTCAGTTTCTGTTAATCCACAGATAATTGATGGAATAGACACATCAATTAATATTAATATTTTTGATACTAATGAAAGTGTAGTATTAGTTATTAGTAATTGTGTACTTCATACAAGATTATCCTCATCTGATGCATCTGGTTTTCTAAAAACAAAACATGAATTTCTTATTAAATTATTTACAAAAGAAGTTACATTAAATCAATTAATTAAAGAAAATAAAGTGGAAACAGATTCTATTGATTTATTAAATACACTAGTTGATTCTATTTCCTTAGAAAATACGAAATTTTTCATTGTAGAACCAAAAATTTAATCAAGATAATAGATTCTTTAAGACAATAAATCATATTTTAATTTTTTCTTTTAATATCAATATATTCTTGTTGTGATACTTTCCACTTTAATTATTAACTCATTTATAAAGAATTTAATTATTCTTCTTTTTTT